CCAATCCCCCCAAACCCCCTTTAACCCACTCCAATCCCCCTTTAACCCACTCCAATCCCCCTTTAACCCCCCCAAATCCCCTTTAACCCCCTCCAAATCCCCTTTAACCCTCTCCAAATCCCCCTCAGACCCTCTTTAACTCTTTTTTCCCCCTCTCCCAGCGGGGCTGGGTGCTGGGACCCTCCAACTATTACAGTTTTGGGGGGCGGCAGCAGAAGGCCGAGGACCCCCCGATCCCCTCCACGGAATTGGCCACGCAGGTGATCGAGTACGCCCGGCAGCTGGAGATGATCGTCTGAGGGCCCAGGAGCAGAAAATTCCCTTCATTTCCTCACAATTCCCGTTTCTCCGCCTTTTCTCTGCCTCTTTTCCCGCCTGCCGGCGCGGGTTTTTTTTTGTTTTTTGGGGGTTTTTTTGGGTTTTATTTTTGGAGGGGGTTGAACTGCTCGAAGATGATTTTCCCCCCCTGCCCCCCAACATTGAGACCCCCAAAATCCCCCCAAAACCCAATTAATTTTCCTTATTTCCCTTATTTTATTGAGTTTTTGGGGGCGGTTCAAGGGCTTTGAAGTATTCCTTTGAGAGCAGTTATGTATTTAAATGTGTTTTTTGAGGGGGTCTTGATACACGAGGGTCTCTCTGAAACCCTCGGGACCCCCAAAATCCCCATTTATTCCCATTTTCGTTGCATTTTTGGGGGGAGTCTTGATGTGGGGACCCCAAAATCCTCTCAGATCCCCCCAGATCCCTCCAGACTCCCAAATGCCCCATTTAACTCACATTTTCCTGCAGTTTTGGGAGGTTTAACAGTTTCAAAGGTTCTTTTTGGTGTGTGGGGATTTAGAGACCCCCTCCTCGCACCGCCTTTCTGGGCAGAATCGGGGGGGGGGCTGAGCCCCCTCCCCATAAAAATGGACCCCGAAGTGTTTCAATAAAGTGCTGGAGACGGAGTAAGGCAGTTTGGGAGGGTTTTAGGGGTCGTTTTGGGTCATTTTGGGGCCGTTTTGGGGGCGTTTCGTTCCTGAGAGGACTCCGGGACCCCCGAATTGAGGAGGGGGCGGCTCCGCCTCCCTCATGGGGAAGCCCCTCCCCTTCTGTCTTCTGATTGGCTGAGCTTTCCCGCGCCGTGTGCTGATTGGCCGAGGAACAGCCATAACCTAGAAGCGCGTATGAAAGGGCTGAGATGATTGGCTGGCAGTGGCAGGAATGAGAGGAGTGCGGTGATTGGCTGGAGCCGCGGGGCCGCGTGGTTAATGAGTGTGCGAGGGGGCGGGGTTAAAATGACGTGAGGAGGGCGGTACAGGCGGGAGGAGGAAGGCCCAGTGCTCCCAGTGCCCTCCCAGTTACCCTCAGTGCCCTCCCAGTTGGTCCTGCTGTGCCCAAGCGCGCCGGCCAATCCCCAGCGAAAACATGAGCAAATCGACCAATCAGAGTGCGGCGCTGCGGGCGTGGGCGTTGATCGACGTGCGGCTCAGCCAACGAGTGAGCGGCGTGCTCTGTGGGCCAGAGCAAAGGCCGGGGCTGCTCGAGACGAGCCAATCGTGCCTGGATGATGTCGAACGACGTCGCGCCGCAGCAATGGAGGGGGCGCCGCTGCCGAAGGGCGCTGTGGGAAGAGGGAGGTGGGATCTGAGCGTAGCACAAGGAGAAGGGGCAGAGCTTTGCCCTGACAGGCAACGGGTCCTCCAATCAGCGCGGTGGGCGGGCGGACCGTTTCGCGAGACGACCAATGGTATTCTGAGGAGAGCGCTGATTGACAGCGCCGCGGACCAATAGGCGCTGGACGTTTTCCGTGACTGGGCAAATCACAGCGGCTCCTGGCGTCGCGGGTGCGGCGGGAACGGCGTCAGCCAATGGGATGCACTGTTCGCCTTGATTGACGCGTGGGCGGGCCAATGGGGGGCGTGTCGTGGGCGGGACGGCGGAGCGGGGCGCCATGTCGCGGCGGCGGTGGCGCGGCCCTCAGGGTGCCGAGGGCGGCGGACGCGGAACCGACATGGGGAAGATGGCGGCGGGCGGCGGCGGCGGCGGCTCGGGCCGATATTACGGCGGCGGTAGCGGCGGAGAAGGTGGAAGGGCTCCTAAGCGCCTGAAAACCGATAGCGCGGAGCCGCCGCCTCACGGGCCCGGTGGGCCGGGGGGCGCGGGCGGCGGAGCCGGAGCGGGAGGATCGGTGAGAGCGGGGTGAAAGCGGGGAAGGGGTTTTATGTGGGGAGGGGGTGTAGAACGCTCTGAGCGGGATAAACGTGGCGGCAGAGGCTGAGAACGGTAAAACGTCTCCCGTGAGGGGGGAAAATGAGGGGTCTGAGGGGGCAAACGTGGCGGGAAGGGCTGAGGGGACGGAGGGGACCCTCATGAGAAGAAAATGGCGGGAAGAAGGCGCTGAGGGGAAGAAGAGATTTCTCTGAGGGGGCAGATGTGGAGAGAGGGGTTCTGAGGGAGGCAAATACAGCGGGAAGGGCTGAGGGGGATAAAAGATTCCCTCTGAGGGGGGATTATTTAGGGAGATTGCTGCGGGCGGCAAATATCGAGGAGCGCGGATAGTTATTGAGTTTTTAGGGGGTTAAATCTTTAGGGATATAAGGGAGGCCCGCGGGGTTTTGGGGTGTCGCCAAGGCCTCGGTGTCCCCTCAGGAGAATTACGAGGACCCCCACAAAACGCCGGCGTCGCCCGTGGTTCACATCCGCGGCCTCATCGATGGCATCGTGGAGGCCGATCTGGTGGAGGCGCTGCAGGAGTTCGGGCCCATCAGGTGGGGACACCGAGGGGACACCGGGGACACCGAGGGGACACCGGGGACAGTGTGCTGGGCACTCTGGGGTGACACAGGGCTGACTCTGGGGACGCCGAGGGGACATTGGGGACACTGAGGGGACACTGAGGGGACACCGGGGACAGTGTGCTGGGCACTCTGGGGTGACACAGGGCTGACTCTGGGGACGCCGAGGGGACATTGGGGACACTGAGGGGACACTGAGGGGACACCGGGGACAGTGTGCTGGGCACTCCGGGGTGACGCCGGGGACACCGAGGGGACACTGGGGACGGTGTGCTGGGCACTCCGGGGTGACACAGGGGTGACTCTGGGGACGCCGAGGGGACATTGGGGACACTGAGGGGACACTGGGGACAGTGTGCTGGGCACTCCGGGGTGACGCCGGGGACGCTCTGGGGACACCGAGGGGACACTGGGGACACCGGGGACCGCGTGCTGGGCACTCCGGGGTGGCACAGGGCTGACACCGGGGACACTCTGGGGACACCGAGGGGACACTGGGGACAGCGTGCTGGGCACTCCGGGGTGGCACAGGGGTGACATCAGGGACACTGAGGGGACACCGAGGGGGTACCGGGGACGCTCTGGAGACACCAAGGGGGCACCGGGAACAGTGTGCTGGGCACTCCGGGGTGGCACAGGGGTGGCTCTGGGGACACCGAGGGGACAGTAGGGACACTGAAGGGACACTGGGGACACCTAGGGGACACCGGGGACAGTGTGCTGGACACTCCGGGGTGGCACAGGGGTGGCACTGGGGACACCGAGGGGACACCGGGGACAGTGTGCTGGACACTCCGGGGTGGCACAGGGGTGGCACTGGGGACACCGAGGGGACACCGGGGACAGTGTGCTGGACACTCCGGGGTGGCACAGGGGTGGCACTGGGGACACCGAGGGGACACCGGGGACAGTGTGCTGGACACTCCGGGGTGGCACAGGGGTGGCACTGGGGACACCGAGGGGACACCGGGGACAGTGTGCTGGACACTCCGGGGTGGCACAGGGGTGGCACTGGGGACACCGAGGGGACACCGGGGACAGTGTGCTGGACACTCCGGGGTGGCACAGGGGTGGCACTGGGGACACCGAGGGGACACCGGGGACAGTGTGCTGGACACTCCGGGGTGGCACAGGGGTGGCACTGGGGACACCGAGGGGACACCGGGGACAGTGTGCTGGACACTCCGGGGTGGCACAGGGGTGGCACTGGGGACACCGAGGGGACACCGGGGACAGTGTGCTGGACACTCCGGGGTGGCACAGGGGTGGCACTGGGGACACCGAGGGGACACCGGGGACAGTGTGCTGGACACTCCGGGGTGGCACAGGGGTGGCACTGGGGACACCGAGGGGACACCGGGGACAGTGTGCTGGACACTCCGGGGTGGCACAGGGGTGGCACTGGGGACACCGAGGGGACACCGGGGACAGTGTGCTGGACACTCCGGGGTGGCACAGGGGTGGCACTGGGGACACCGAGGGGACACCGGGGACAGTGTGCTGGACACTCCGGGGTGGCACAGGGGTGGCACTGGGGACACCGAGGGGACACCGGGGACAGTGTGCTGGACACTCCGGGGTGGCACAGGGGTGGCACTGGGGACACCGAGGGGACACCGGGGACAGTGTGCTGGACACTCCGGGGTGGCACAGGGGTGGCACTGGGGACACCGAGGGGACACCGGGGACAGTGTGCTGGACACTCCGGGGTGGCACAGGGGTGGCACTGGGGACACCGAGGGGACACCGGGGACAGTGTGCTGGACACTCCGGGGTGGCACAGGGGTGGCACTGGGGACACCGAGGGGACACCGGGGACAGTGTGCTGGACACTCCGGGGTGGCACAGGGGTGGCACTGGGGACACCGAGGGGACACCGGGGACAGTGTGCTGGACACTCCGGGGTGGCACAGGGGTGGCACTGGGGACACCGAGGGGACACCGGGGACAGTGTGCTGGACACTCCGGGGTGGCACAGGGGTGGCACTGGGGACACCGAGGGGACACCGGGGACAGTGTGCTGGACACTCCGGGGTGGCACAGGGGTGGCACTGGGGACACCGAGGGGACACCGGGGACAGTGTGCTGGACACTCCGGGGTGGCACAGGGGTGGCACTGGGGACACCGAGGGGACACCGGGGACAGTGTGCTGGACACTCCGGGGTGGCACAGGGGTGGCACTGGGGACACCGAGGGGACACCGGGGACAGTGTGCTGGACACTCCGGGGTGGCACAGGGGTGGCACTGGGGACACCGAGGGGACACCGGGGACAGTGTGCTGGACACTCCGGGGTGGCACAGGGGTGGCACTGGGGACACCGAGGGGACACCGGGGACAGTGTGCTGGACACTCCGGGGTGGCACAGGGGTGGCACTGGGGACACCGAGGGGACACCGGGGACAGTGTGCTGGACACTCCGGGGTGGCACAGGGGTGGCACTGGGGACACCGAGGGGACACCGGGGACAGTGTGCTGGACACTCCGGGGTGGCACAGGGGTGGCACTGGGGACACCGAGGGGACACCGGGGACAGTGTGCTGGACACTCCGGGGTGGCACAGGGGTGGCACTGGGGACACCGAGGGGACACCGGGGACAGTGTGCTGGACACTCCGGGGTGGCACAGGGGTGGCACTGGGGACACCGAGGGGACACCGGGGACAGTGTGCTGGGCACTCCGGGGTGACGCCGGGGACGCTCTGGGGACACCGAGGGGACACTGGGGACACCGGGGACCGCGTGCTGGGCACTCCGGGGTGGCACAGGGCTGACACCGGGGACACTCTGGGGACACCGAGGGGACACTGGGGACAGCGTGCTGGGCACTCCGGGGTGGCACAGGGGTGACATCAGGGACACTGAGGGGACACCGAGGGGGTACCGGGGACGCTCTGGAGACACCAAGGGGGCACCGGGAACAGTGTGCTGGGCACTCCGGGGTGGCACAGGGGTGGCTCTGGGGACACCGAGGGGACAGTAGGGACACTGAAGGGACACTGGGGACACCTAGGGGACACCGGGGACAGTGTTCTGGACACTCCAGGGTGGCACAGGGGTGACACTGGGGACATCGAGGGGACACCAGGGACAGCATGCTGGGCACTCTTGGGGACACCTAGGGGACACTGGGGACAGTGTGCTGGACACTCCGGGGTGGCACAGGGGTGGCACCGGGGACACTCTGGGGACACTGGTGGCTGTGGGCTCACTGTGGTGACATTGTGGTGGCACTGGGGGGACGCTGCATGGGGCTGGTGACGCCACGGTGACGGTGATCCCGTGACAGCGCTGTGTCCTCTGTCCCAGTTTTGTGGAGGTGACACCTGGGGGAGGTGACACCACAGTGACAAAGTCCTTGTCACAGCTCTGTGGTGATGTCAGGGGTTGGGGACACCGTAGATTGAAGACACTGTAGTTCGGGGACATCCTAGTGACAATGTCCCTGTTCCAGCTCTGTGGTGGTGTCAGGGGTTGGGGACACTGTGGGTTGGGGACACCATGGGCTGGGGACACTGTGGGATGGGGACATCCCGGTCACAGTGTCCCTGTCCCAGCTACGTGGTGATGTCAGGGGTTGGGGACACCGTGGGTTGGGGACATCCCAGTGACAACATCCCTGTCCTAGCTACATGGTGATGTCAGGGGTTGGGGACACCATGGCCTGGGGACACCATGGGTTGGGGACACCACGGGTTGGGGACATCCCAGTGACAACGTCCCTGTCCCAGTTACGTGGTGGTGATGTCAGGGCTTGGGGACACCTTGGGTTGGGGACATCCGGGTGACAACATCCCTGTCCTAGCTACGTGGTAATGTCAGGGGTCAGAGACACAATGGGTTGGGGACATTCTGGTGACAACGTCCCCTGTCCCAGCTACGTGGTGATGTCAGGACTTGGGGACACCATGGGCTGGGGACACCATGGGTTGGGGACACCGTGGGTTGGGGACATCCTGGTGACAACATCCCTGTCCTGGCTACGTGGCGGTGATGTCAGGGCTCGGGGACACCATGGGTTGAGGACGCCGTGGGCTAGGGACATCCTGGCGACAACATCCCTGTCCTAGCTACGTGATGGTGATGTCAGGGCTTGGGGACACCGCGGGTTGGGGACATCCCGGTGACAACATCCCTGTCCCAGTTATGTGGTGGTGATGCCAAAGAAGCGTCAGGCGCTGGTGGAGTTTGAGGACATCCTGGGCGCCTGCAACGCCGTCAACTACGCCGCCGACAACCAGATCTACTTCGCCGGCCACCCGGCCTTCGTCAACTACTCCACCAGCCAGAAGATCTCGCGGCCCGGCGACAGCGACGACGCGCGCGGCGTCAACAACGTGCTGCTCTTCACCATCCTCAACCCCATCTACTCCATCACCACGGTGAGCAGGGCTGGGGGCTTCGCTGGGGCGTGGGGTGTGGTTTATCGGGATTTATTGGGGTTTATTGGGGTGTGGGGTGTGGTTTATTGGGGTTTATTGGGATTTAGGGGGTTTTATTGGGGTTTGGGGTCACCAACAACGTGCTGCTCTTCACCATCCTCAACCCCATCTACTCCATCACCACTGTGGGTGGAGGTTTGGGGTTTTTGGGGTCCTGGGCTGTATTTTTGGGGTCCCAGGTGGGTGTTTGGTGTCCTGGGCTCTATCTTTGGGGTCCCAGGTGGGTTTTTGGGGTCCCAGGTCAGAGTTTGGTGTCCTGGGCTGTATTTTTGGGGTCCTGGGCTGTATTTTTGGTGTCCCAGGTGGGTTTTTGGGGTTCCAGGTGGGAGTTTGAGGTCCTGGTCTGTATTTTTGGGATCCCAGATGTGTTTTTGGGGTCCCAGGTGGGTTTTTGGGGTTCTGGGCTATATCTTTGGGGTCCCAGGTGGGTTTTTGGGGTCCCTGGTGGGAGTTTGATGTCCTGGGCTGTATTTTTGAGGTCCTGGGCTGTACTTTTGGTGTCCTGGGCTGTATTTTTGGCGTCCCAGGTGTATTTTTGGGGTCCCAGGTGTGTTTTTGGTGTCCTGGGCTGTATTTTTGGTGCGCCAGGTGTGTTTTTGGTGTCCTGGGCTGTATTTTTGGGGTCCCAGGTGTGTTTTGGGGCACCCCTGACCCCCCGTTTCCCACAGGACGTGCTCTACACCATCTGCAACCCCTGCGGGCCCGTGCAGAGGATCGTCATCTTCCGCAAGAACGGCGTCCAGGCCATGGTGGAATATCCAGAAATTCGGGAATCCCAAAACCGGGGGAGGAGGGGGGGGATCCCCAAAATCCCGGTGCCCCCAATTCCCGCCGGGAACGGCGCTCGGGAACCTCCTGGAGGGATTTGGGGCTCCCCCGAAGGACTTGGGGGGCTCAGGTGGCCTCACCTGGCTCAGAGCGAGGCCGTGCCCATCTCCCCGCCCCCCTGGGATCCCAAAATTCCCCGAATCCCGTCGGGAATTGCCGAAATTCCGCGTTTTCCTTGACGGGCGGGAACGTTCGACTCGGTGCAGAGCGCGCAGCGCGCCAAGGCCTCGCTCAACGGCGCCGACATCTACTCGGGCTGCTGCACCCTCAAGATCGAGTACGCCAAGGTGAGCACACCTGGGAACACCTGGGAGCACCTGGGAACAGCTGGGGGGTATCTGGGAACAGCTGGGGACATCTGAGAATACCTGGGAACACCTGGGGGGACATCTGGGGACATCTGAGAATACCTGGGAACACCTGGGGGGACATCTGGGGACATCTGAGAATACCTGGGAACACCTGGGGGGACATCTGGGGCCATCTGGGGACACACCTGAGGACATCTGGGAACGCCTGGGGGGACATTTGGAGATAGCAGGGACACACCTGAGGACATCTGAGACATCTGGGGACATCTGAGAACACCTGGGAACGCCTGGGGGGACATCTGGGGACAGCTGGGACATCTGGGGACACACCTGAGGACATCTGGGAGCACCTGGGCACACCTGGGGACACACCTGGAGATATCTGGGGGTACCTGGGCACACTTGGGGACACACCTGGAGATATCTGGGAGCACCTGGGCACACCTGGGGACACACCTGGAGATATCTGGGGGTACCTGGGCACACTTGGGGACACACCTGGAGATATCTGGGGGTACCTGGGCACATGTGGGGACACACCTGGAGATATCTGGGGGTACCTGGGCACATGTGGGGACACACCTGGAGATATCTGGGGGTACCTGGGCACACTTGGGGACACACCTGGAGATATCTGGGGGTACCTGGGCACATGTGGGGACACACCTGAGGACATCTGGGAGCACCTGGGCACACTTGGGGACACACCTGGAGATATCTGGGGGTACCTGGGGGTACCTGGGCACACCTGGGGGTACCTGGGCACACCTGGGCAGGTGCCAAAGCCCCGTCCCCGTTCCCCCCCCCCCAGCCCAGCCGCCTGAACGTGTTCAAGAACGACCAGGACACCTGGGACTACACCAACCCCAACCTGAGCGGGACAGGTAATGCAACACCTGGCACACCTGACAGCCCCCGGTACAGCCCTGCCCTGGGGGGGACTCCGGGGGTCTGGGGGGGCACTGGGGGGGTGTGGGGGTCACCTGGGCCAGGTGGGGGCAGGAGGGGCCACGCCCCTTTGGAGAGGGGAGGGGTTGTTTTGTCACCTGGAATGTGAGAGGGTTGGGGGGTCACACCTGGAAAGGGATCGCACACCTGGAGAGGGGTCACACACCCAGAGAGGGGTCACACACCTGCAGAGGGGTCACACACCTGGAGAGGGGTCACACACCCGGAGAGGGGTCACACACCCAGAGAGGGGTCACACACCTGCAGAGGGGTCACACACCTGGAGAGGGGTCACACACCTGGAGAGGGGTCACACACCTGGAGAGGGGTCACACACCTGGAGGGGTCACACCTGGGGAGGTCACAGCTCTGGAGAGGGGTCACACATCTGGAGGGGTCACACACCTGGAGAGGGGTCACACACCCAGAGAAGGGTCACACACCTGCAGAGGGGTCACACACCTGGAGAGGGGTCACACACCTGGAGAGGGGTCACACACCCGGAGAGGGGTCACACACCTGCAGAGGGGTCACACACCTGGAGAGGGGTCACACACCCGGAGAGGGGTCACACACCTGCAGAGGGGTTACACTTGGACAGGTCACACACCCGGGGAGGGGTCACACACCTGGGGAGGCGTCTCACACCTGGGGAGGGGTCACACACCTGCACAGGTTACACACCTGGACAGGTCCCACACCTGCTGCAGGTGTACCAGGGGAACACCCCCCACATTTCCCATCACCAGGTGTGGCCCCCCCTCTCCTCCCCGTCCATTTCTCCCCGGGGATCCTCGGGGCTGGGGGGGGATTTCCAGAACATTCCCGCGGTTTGTGGGGCTCGGAGCCGGGGGGTCCTTCCCAAAAAACGGGGTCCTTCCCAAAAAACAGGGGATCCTTCCCAAAAAACAGGGGGTCCTTCCCAAAAAACGGGATCCTTCCCAAAAAACAGGGGATCCTTCCCAAAAACAGGGGGTCCTTCCCAAAAAATGGGGGGGTCCTGGGGGTCCTTCCTGAAAATTGAGGGGGTCCTTCCCAAAAATTGGGGGGCTC